TGTGGTACACTATTCCACTATAAAGAGATACTTGTACAAAATATGGTCTTCATGGAAGAGTCATCAGAAGAAAACCTCTTCTACGTCCTCACCACAAAAATCATGGTTTGAACTTTCCAAATGAACATATAGACAAGCCTGATGCATTTTGGAAACAAGTTCTGTGGACCGATGAGGTTAAAATTGAACTTTTTGGCCGGAATGAGCAAAGGTACGTTTGGAGAAGAAGGGGCACAGAATTTAATGAAAAGAACCTCTGTCCAACTGTTATGGGGTTGGATCAATCATGCTTTGGGGTTGTGTTGCAGCCAGTGGCACAGGGAACATCTCACGAGTAGAAGGAAAAATGGATTCAATAAAATTTCAGCAAATTTTGGATGGTAACTTGATGCCATCTGTGAAAAAGCTGAAGTTAAAGAGAGGATGGCTTCTACAAATGGATAATGATCCTAAACACACCTCGAAATCCACGGGGGATTACATCAAGAGGCGTAAACTGAAGGTTTTGCCATGGCCTTCACAATCTCCTGACCTCAACATAATTGAAAATCTATGGATAGACCTTAAAAGAGCAGTGCGAGACAGACAGGCCAGAAATCTCTAAGAACTGGAAGACTTTTGTAAGGAAGAATGGGCAAAGATACCTCAAACAAGAATTGAAAGACTCTTGGCTGGCTACAAAAAGCGTTTACAAGCTGTGATACTTGCCAAAGGGGGCAGTACAAGATATTAACTCTGCAGGGTGCCCAAACTTTTGCAGACGCCATTTTTTTGTTTTCTGTTATTTTGAAAGTGTAAATGATGGAAATAAAATCTAACTTTTGTTGACATATTATAAGAATGTCTAATCTGTAATTTGATGCCTTTTGGAGATTTTTCCATCTTTCCTTGGCTTCTTTATGCACATTAATACAAATTTTTAGCTGAGGTGCCCAAACTTTCGATCCCCACTGTATATTCCCATGTATTAATCTATATATTTTCCTTTGTCTGTCTTCATCTATCTCTATTCCCAAATCTCTTTCCCATTTTATTATATACATTGGTTTTGTGAAAGTGTCTAACTCAGTGAGGATCTTATAAATTTTTGCCGTGCCTCGTCTCCCATCACCTCGTGTTTCTAACAACCTCTCAAACAGATTCCAATCCTTTCTCGATCTCAACGGTTTTGGAAGGTCTCTGACAAAGTGTTTTAATTGGTGATATTTCCATTCATCTATTTTAATAAAAAGTTCCTTTTTATCTTTTTTCAAATCCTTAAGTGTTCTCAATTCCTGTCCTTCCATTATATCTCTCAGTTGGATATCTTCTTTTTTAAACCATTTTCCTGTGCTCTCCTCCTTACCTGGGGGAAAATAATCCATGTTCCTCAGTGATATTAATTGTGAATTAAAATCCCATTTCATAATTTTATGCAACTTATCCCAAACCTTAAGAACATTTAATGTAAAAACACTTGTGATATCTTTTAACCCTCTATATTGTGCTGGTGCCCATATAATTCTACTCAAGGTAACTCCACTTAATTCATTCTCAATCTGAACCCAGCTTTTCCCTTCTTGGTTATGTGTCCAATCATAAATTCTCGCTAGGACTGCTGCTCTATAATACCTCTTAATATCTGGTACTCCCAAACCTCCCTTCTCCTTTTTTCTACTTAACAAGTCATATGATATTCTAGGTTTTTATTTTTCCATATGTATTTTGTTAACATCCTTTTCATTACTTTAAAAAAGAGGGAAGCGTTTGAGAGGTGAAAGGTTATTGGGCAAGGGAAGTATGTTGTGGGTTTAGACCAAGCTAAAGCCTTTGACAGAGTTGAACATGGCCATCTGTGGGCGACTTTGTTAAAGTACGGTATCCCAAGGTTATTTGTCGATTGGCTAAGAAATTTCTATGTTTTAGGAAGGCCCTTCCACTAAATACAGTGATACCTTGGTTCACTAATGCTTCTGTTCACGCACAACCTCGATGCACGAACAGAAGAGTGCGCAAAAATTTTGCTTCGGTTTGCGAACTCCGCTTCAGTTCACGAACACGAGCTGTGGCCATCTTCCCTGCTCTGACACGTGACTTCCTGTAGGCGAGATTGCAGTCACAGACAGACACTGAAAGTGTACTGTGAAGACACTTACAGTACTGAGAAGCTTTTTGGTGTGCTGTTTAGCACATACTGTACTGTACATTCCTATGCACACTTGCTGTAAAGCTTTTTTGTGTGCTTTTTAGCACATACTGTACTGGACATCCAGTATGGTTCCAAAAAAATTCAGAGCAAGAATGGTGGTAAGAAGAAAGTGCGGAGCAGTAATGAAGGTGACAAGAATGTGCAGAGCAAGCATGTTGTTGAAAAGAAAGTGCAGAGTGGTAATGAAGGTAACAAGAATGTGCAGAGCGCTAATGAAGTTGACAGAAATGTGCAGAGCAAGCATGGTGGTAAAAAGAAAGTGCAGAGCAGTAATGAAGGTGACAAAAACATGCAGAGCAGTAATGAAGGTGACAAGAACATGCAGAGCAGTAATGAAGGTGACAAGAACATGCAGAGCAGTAATGAAGGTGACAAGAATGTGCAGAGCACTAATGAAGGTGACAAGAAAGTGCAGAGCAAGCATGGTGGTAAAAAGAAAGTGCAGAGCTGTAATGAAGGTGACAAGAATGTGCAGAGCGTTAATGAAGGTGACAAGAATGTGCAGAGCGGTAATGAAGGTGACAAAAACGTGCAGAGCTGTAATGAAGGTGACAAAAACGTGCAGAGCAGTAATGAAGGTGACAAGAATTTGCAGAGCGTTAATGAAGGTGACAAGAATGTGCAGAGCGTTAATGAAGGTGACAAGAACGTGCAGAGTTGTAATGAAGGTGACAAAAACGTGCAGAGCGGTAATGAAGGTGACAAGAATGTGCAGAGCAGTAATGAAGGTGACAAGAACGTGCAGAGCAGTAATGAAGGTGACAAGAACGTGCAGAGCAGTAATGAAGGTGACAAGAACGTGCAGAGCAGTAATGAAGGTGACAAGAAAGTGCAGAGCAAGCATGGTGGTAAAAAGAAAGTGCAGAGCTGTAATGAAGGTGACAAGAATGTGCAGAGCGTTAATGAAGGTGACAAGAACGTGCAGAGCGGTAATGAAGTTGACAAAAACGTGCAGAGCGGTAATAAAGGTGACAAGAATGTGCAGAGCAGTAATGAAGGTGACAAGAATGTGCAGAGCGGCAATGAAGGTGACAAGAACATGCAGAGCGGTAATAAAGGTGACAAGAATGTGCAGAGCGGTAATGAAGGTGACAAGAACGTGCAGAGCAGTAATAAAGGTGACAAGAATGTGCAGAGCGATAATGAAGGTGGCAAGAATGTGCAGAGCAAGCATGGTGGTAAAAAGAAAGTGCAGAGCAAGAATGGTGGTAAGAAGAAAGTGCGGAGCAGTAATTAAGGTGACAAGAAAGTGCAGAGCGGCAATGAAGGTGACAAGAAAGTGCAGAGTGGTAATGAAGGTTCAGAGCAAGAATGGTAAAAATAGGATTGTGAAGAAAATAACCATTGAGTTGGAGAAGGAAATTGTAGAAAAGCATGACCGTGGTATTTGTGTGACTGATCTGGCCTTGGTGTGCAAGATGGTGAAGTCAATAATCTCGACTATTTTGAAGAAGAAAGCTGCCATCAAAGGAACTTATGTGGGAAAAGGAGTAACAATGTTAACCAAGTAAAGGATGCAAGTGCTGGAAGAGGTGGAAAAACCTTTTAGTGTGGTTGAATGAGAAACAGCTGACAGGTATAGTGTTAGTGAAGCTATGATCTGTGAAAAAGCCAGGAAATTGCACAGTGATTTCCTGCAACAAAAAAAAAACCCTCTACAAGTGCAGCAAGTGAAGAATATAAAGCCAGTAGAGGGTGGTTTGAAAAATCCCGTAAGAGAAGTGGCATCCACAGTTTAATAGGACGTGGTGAGGCTTCCAGTTCTAACAAGGCCACTGCAGAAGCCCACAAGAAAGAATTTGCAGAATTCATAAAGGAAGAAGGATTAGTCACTCAACAAGTGTTGAAACTGTGATGAAACCGGGCTCTTCTGGAAAAAGATGCCGAACAGAACCTATATCACACAGGAGGAAAAGGCAGTGCCGGGGCACAAGCCCATGAAGGACAGATTGACCCTTTTGCTGTGTGCGAAAGCAAACTCCAATCTGAAGATTAAGCCACTACTGGTGTACCATTCCCAGACCCCTCATGCATTCAGGGAACAGAATGTGAACAAGGCCAGACTGCCTGTCACGTGGAGGGCCAATGCAAAAGCTTGGGTTAAAAGGCAATTGTTCATGGAATGGCTGCACGAGGTGTTCGCACTCACCATAAGAAAATATCTGTCTGACAACCAACTGCCTGAAAGGTGCCCTGGCACAGCCTCCAGCCTTGGTGGATGATATGGACACTGAGTATGACTTCATAAGGTCAAGTTCCTCCCCCCCAACACGACACCTCTTCTGCAGCCCATGGACCAGCGAGTGATCTGCAACTTCAAGAAGCTGTACACAAAGGCGCTCTTCACTAGGTGTTTTAACCTCCCTAGCGGTCTGATTATGTTCATATTTCTGTGCTCAAAGCAGTAAATTTTTTGCATGGAAATATGTCGTTTTTTTATTGTAGGCCTGTAATTTTTAGGAATAACTCACTGAAATCTGTCCGAACAAGAGTCTAGTCTTTGAAACACGAAATCATAAATTATAATTTAATAAATAATAATAAAAAATTATAATATAATAATAATATATTTAATTCAATAATATAATCAAACCAAAAACACTGAAATTTGAAATAAAGCGCCAGTTCGCACATCACTGAGCAAAGTCGCAAAATCGTTTTCAGTGTCTGATGACGAATTTCCCCACGAATCATTATCACTCAATTCTGCAAGTGGTTCTAATTTACTATCGCTGTTCTCTAGCCGGTCTAAAACCACTTTTGACCTAAAGGGACGCTTTTTGGACTCCATGGACATTTCTCAGTTTCCAGGCAGAAAAAACAGTAAAAATGCAAGCAGGGCGCAGGACAAAGCACACGGGACAAAATGTATGTGAAATGGTTTGACACAGTAATGATTTACTATGTGATTTTAGTGAATTTAATGAATGTCATTTTTAAAATTTTAAAATTTCCCACCAGTTTCGTCCCCCGTACGTCCCGACATCGCAGGGAACGGAACCCAGAAGACAGATGCCGGCATCGGCCCGAGGACATGGCCGGGGACGCTACAGGGGGGACATTGTGGGAGTGTAGGACAAGGTAAGTGGAGAAGAGATGCCGGAGCAACGCTGCAGGGTATTCCCGAGTGTAGCTCGGGGTTACCACTTGTGGTGCTGAAACTTTACCCTGAGCTACACCCGGGAATACCGCCAGGGGGGTTAATGTCACTGAGGCGACATCCTTGAGTCTGAAAGAGTTCTGGAAGAAACATTTCAATGTTCTCCACTGCATCAACCTCGTTGACAAAGCCTGGGAAGATGTCATGTACCGGACCTAACACTCAGCCTGGAGGAAACTGTGGCCAGAATGAGTCAATAAAGTTGACTTTGAAGGGTCTGATGCAGACGCAGTGGAGGAGATTGTGTCCATGGGCAAGAGTATGGGTCTGGACGTCGATGATGGAGATATAGAGGAGCTTGTTGAGGAACATAAGGAGGAGCTGACTACGGAAGATCTTTCTGAACTCCACAGTGAGCAGCAGAAGGTGCTTATTGAGGAGCATTCCACTGAGGAAGAGGAAGACAGGGAGGAGGTTAGCAGTGATGCTATAAAATACATTATGGAAAAGGGAATGAGTGCCATGCTTTTTTTGAGAAGCATCAACATAACTGTAATGAACAGAGTGTTGAATCTGATGAATGATAGCGTGGTCTCTCAATTCTGGAGGGTTATGCAGCGCAGGAAAAGACAAATAACAGTGGACAGATTTTTCACCAAAACTGAGCCTGCAGCTAAGAGACAAAGAAGAGAGGAAACCCCTGAAGTAGATCTCCCCAATGTCCTTATGGAGGGGGACTCTCCCTCCGAACAATAACCGCCTCCCACCCGCCTTCCTGTCCTCCATGCCAGAAGTTGTCTCAAGCAAGGTTAGTGTTTTCTCTCTTCATACTGTGCTGCACTGTACTGTGCTTTGCTTCATATTTTTGTGATTCAAAAACAAAAACAACCTTATGGGAAAGTTTGATTCGGTTGGCGATCAAATTCGGTTTGCGACCACATTCATAGGAGTCAGAACGGATTAACCTGATTTACATTGAACCCTATGGGAAAATTTAATAACTGCAATATCAGTTTTGAATGAACAGACCATTAAATTATATGCATGATTTATATTGATAGTGCTGCATAATTGTCAGAACATGTTATAGTTGATGTATATTTAATGTTATAGGATTTGTGTGAACAATATTTAATGTACCATACATTCATTTTAAATGCGGGTGGGAAATGTGGGTAAACTGCACCTCACTGACTGGGAAACACTCACCCCTTGTAACATAAGTATAAAAATAATTGGAACAAATAGGAGTGGGGTTTTTAGGTGAATATATTACAAACCAACACTAAATATTAATTAAAATATTACATTATTTTAAACAAATACATAAAAAGATTCTAAAAAGAAACTGATATAGTTCCATAATATATATCCAATATGTGCCATTTGATGGATTTAAATTGAGATCCTCAAACACACGCTCTTCTATATGTTTCGCCAACTTAGCTTCTTCAGGAAGCAAACTTGTGCATGAAATACTAATAGTAATACAAATACATAGATAAGAAATGCATCCAACAACAGTAATAATACTGTATACTTGCATGGTGACAAGGGGAATCAAACCTCCCTTACTACCCAATATCTCTGTCCACATGTCAAAACCCTTTTTTCTTTTTTTATAGCTAAGAATGTTGCTAAGAATCATTGAAGGCATACAAGTGCCTAAAGGAGTGTAGTTAGATGTTGAAGCCCATTACAATTCGATTCCTCACAATCTTGGTATTCATGGGATTATAATGATTTAGTGTTACAAATTTGGGAATCTATCTTGACTCATAACATATTCATGTTTAAATGCTCCCACTTCTTCCAGGTACAAGGCGTTGCCATGGGGATGCGATGAGCTCCCTCATATGCCAATTTGTACCTGGTGGGGTGGGAGCGGGACTTGTTTTCTTGTGATGATTTAAGTTGCATAATATCTTGGAATCGTTATATCGATGATATTTTCATGATTTGGGCAGGATCAAAGGACCGACTGTTGACATTTTTAGAACTATTGAGGTATGATAGATTCAACCTTAAATTTACATATAATTATCGCTCTGAACAAATCACTTTTCTAGATGTGGAGATTTTTTTTAATACAGATGGGACACTATGCAGAAAACCATCAGCAGGTAATACCATAATATATGCTACTAGTTCACATACAGATTAATTGATTAGAAGTATCCACTACAGCTAATATTTAAGGATAAAGCAGAACTATACTAATGATATAGATTTTTGTTATGCAACTAAGGCCCTACAAGAGCTACTACTGGCCAGGGGATATTGTAAATCCTGCCCCAAAAAGGCTTATAATAGAATGACTCAACAGGAGAAATCTTTAATATATAAGCCTAGGAGAACAACACAATAAAAATTACATGGATTTTTACTCGGTACAACAGACTTCATCAAACCATAAGAAATATTTATAAAAAATATCAGTACCTACTAAATTCTGATGAATGTATCAGTAAATATATCAAACCTTATCTAGAGATTACATTCAAACGCTCAACATCTTTAAGAGATCAACTAGTTTGAAGTAATTACTCTAATCAAGTAACTTCTCTGTTATCCACAGTCAGTTCCTTTCCCTGTGGTAGATGTAATTACTGTTGCTTCACCCTAAAAGGTAGGAACATTATTCTTCCAAATAACCAAATCCTCAGTCCCAAGTGTGGTATAACATGCCAAACCATTGGCGTGATTTACCTTATGAAGTGTAGGTGTGGTGCGTTTTATGTTGGGAAGATGAAACTTCCATTCTATAAACACATCAGAGAGTATGTTTCCTTAATATCCAAGAAAAAATTAGAAACTCCTATTAGTTGACATGAAGGACTCTATCATGGATTTGACTTGCATTCCATTGGTTTCTTTGCATTGGAACATGTCCCCTCCATTAAACGAGGGGGGGATAAATAGGACACTACTGCAAATTGAAAGAAGATGGATATATTGGTTGCATGCTTTACAGTACCCAGGACTCCATTTCTATGAAATTGTCCTGTAATAAACCGCTTTGGTCAGTTAAAATGGGTAGAACCCATATCCAAGATTTGATTTATTTTTAACATAATTCTGTATTATTATCGGTTAACAATGTACTGTTTGTAAAATTGTTGTAATATATGTAACTTTTCTGAATGGTAATACTTCTATATTGCATTACTTTGTTATGCTTACATTGATCAGATATGGATGAGATCATGTATGTATGTATGCATACAGACTTTTAATGGTATTGATTTTGTTGTCGGCGTACTCGTTTGGCTGGGATTCACCTATGACTATGACCCTGTGCTGTGGGAAGGTTCTTTCTTGTGGCTTCAAATTTGGAGCAGGTCCTCAGAGATGGCTTTTTTTGGCAATTGTACAGACATGTAGGGCATTTGGGCTTTCCCTGGGAAGTCTTTGTCCCCCAGTGTTATCCTGCGCCCATTTTTGGAGTTTCTGCCAAGGCACAGTATTTCCCTACCATCCCTATCACATTCCCCCAGAGAAGGGTGAGGACGCTTATCTCTCGACAATCTTAGAGGTATATATATATACCCCAGATGCCGATTTAAGTCTGTTTACACATCTAATGTCCTCCACCGAACCATCTTCTTTATAACCACAAGATGGTGCTATGTGTAGGTTTACAACTTCTATGCATTCAGGTAAGCTTTTTGCCTCCCATTCATTTGCCTGTCTTGTGGTGTGCTTCCTGTGGATTGGTAGTGTTCTGTGGGCAGATGGAAGCCAGTGTGTGAGGGTTGCCACCTCATCCCTTTAAAATTGAACACATATTAATTACACAGACTCAGCGGCTGATTAAGGTGGTAATTAAACTCACTTGGTGCCTTATCTGCATTAAATTAGCCTCAGAACCTGTGTATTAAATGTGTTCGGTTTGATAGCGATGAGGTGGCAACCCAACAGTGCGCATGTGCAGACTACAATAATATGTCTGGGCTGTAACGTCAGTCACCGTCCAGGTAGAAGGGCTATTAGACCCGAAACCTTGGTAGTTATTTTGCCGCAGTCCTGGAGGAGCCAGAGATGCATATAGGAACTTTTTTGTTATCCGCTAGCCAAATTTTGAGATATCTTTGTAAATATATTACATTTATATTCCTTCAAAGGGCTAATTGCTTATGCAGTTGGTATTTTTTGCTTAAACTTCTAGAACTAAAGCTGGCCTGTTTATGGCATATTTGGGATCTAGTCCTGGGTACAAGGTACCTTATTTATATATTTATTATGGATTTTGTTGGATTTAATAGTAATGGTAATGGAAACTGACTTCCCCTTTCCTATTATGTGCATTTACCTTCATAGTTCATTTCTAATATATCTTGTGGAGTAATTGCACTCCACCATAAATTATATCAGGCTAAAACATTCATCTTTAATAGTTCTTTGTTGTTTTTTTATAAAAAAAAATTATCACTCCTCTAGTGAATAGGCCCCACTTATTATCATCATTGCAATACTCTGGCTCCCCCTAGTGAACGGTTTCACTGCATTTTGTTAGCGAGTATCATTTTATGGCAGTATACAGTGATGCTACATATATAATGAAATATAAATATAGAATATTTTGTAGCCAATAATGATTGTATTTCATTAGGATTATTCTCTGGTCAATATATTCCCTCTTCGGTTTGCCTTGTGCCGCTGTGGCTCCACCCCTGTGGACTCCATGGGTTTCCTCCTGTGACTCTATCTGGTCGAGTCCTTGATGTGCTAAGTCTGAGATGTATGCAGACTAGCTGGATTGGGTAATAGGGGAAGTTTGATTCCCTTTGTCTGCATGCCTGTATATAGTATTATTATTGTTGTTGGATACATTTCTTATCTATGTCTTTTTATTACTATTAGTATCTAATGCACAGGTTTGCTTCCTGAAGAAGCCAAGTTGGTGAAACATATGGAAGAGTCTGTGTTTGAGGAACTCAATTTAAATCCATCAAATGGCACATTTCGGATATATACTATGGAACTATATCTGTTTCTGTTTAGAATATTTTATGTATTTGTTTAAAATAAACTGTAATATTTTAATTAATATT